TCAGATATGAAAGGTCTGTAAAGCCAAAGCCCGGAAAAGAGAATGGGGCACGATCGATTCCAAGGACCAGATTGGCAGACAAAGCACGAGACTCCATCCAAGAAATAACACATAATTTATTCATGTTGCATGCATCTTAGACATACTTAGGTGCATCACATCCATCATTTTAGCATGCATAATTTTGCAGCTTTCAGAGTCAAGCTTCGACTTCAGGATGAAGGCTACTCGACTTGCAAGCACCTTTAAAGAACGATGGTGTAACTCAGCAGCAAGAAGCTACACCTCAACCGACTTTACATATCTACAGATCTCAAAACCAATTTCAGATGGGTTCGAGAACATATTCAGATCAAATTCAGTTCAGCTCAACTCAACAATGAGCAACATGTTTCCAGTTTATGTCTTCAAGCCAGATTTCAATTCCATAACGGAAGATATTTGGCTGTCAGAATTCATCAACGGGCTTTCCCATAAAATGGGAGTCATCCAAAGATTTTCTTACTTGGTTCTCGCTCAGAGGAACCACCTGAAGAATCATGACCGGCTTCGACCCGTTAAGGGAAGCCATTTTTTTAAACAAACTATTTGCAGCATAGCTTAAGTCGAGAAGGGCTATCTGCCAAAGACCCCCAAGTTCGATTACACTTAGCTTCGAGGGCACATCATTTACAGCATAACTCAAGGCTAGAAGGGTTATCTGTGACCAAAAGACCTTTGAGTTCGACTACGCTCAGCTCAACGGCACATCATTTGCAGCATAGCTTAAGTCGAGAAAGGCTATCTGCCAAAGACCCCCGAGTTCGATTACACTCAGCTTCGAGGGCACATCATTTGCAGCATAACTTAAGTCGAGAAGGGTTATCTTCCAACCAAAGACCTTTGAGTTCGACTACGCTCAGCTCCAAGGCACATCATTTGCAGCATAGCTTAAGTCGAGAAGGGCTATCTGCCAAAGACTCCCGAGTTCGATTACACTCAGCTTCGAAGGCACATCATTTACAGCATAACTCAAGGCTAGAAGGGTTATCTGTGACCAAAAGACCTTTGAGTTCGACTACGCTCAGCTCAACGGCACATCATTTGCAGCATAGCTTAAGTCGAGAAGGGCTATCTGCCAAAGACCCCCGAGTTCGATTACACTCAGCTTCGAGGGCACATCATTTGCAGCATAACTTAAGTCGAGAAGGGTTATCTGCCAACCAAAGACCTTCGAGTTCGACTACGCTCAGCTCCAAGGCATATCATTTGCAGTACAACTTAAGTCTAGAAGGGTTATCGGCCAACCAAAGACCTTCGAGTTCGACTACGCTCAGCTCCAAGGCATATCATTTGCAGCACAACTTAAGTCTAGAAGGGTTGTCTGCAAACAAAAGACCTTTGAGTTCGACTACACTCAGCTCAACGGCACATCATTTGCAGCATAGCTTAAGTCGAGAAGGGCTATCTGCTAAAGACCTTCGAGTTCGATTATATTCAACTTAGAGGCAAATCAAGCTTACAGAATAGCTCAAGGCAAGAAGGGCTATCTGTCAATAAAATTGTCGAGTTCGAGTCCAATCAGCTCGATGACACCTCAATCACACTGTCCGGCTGCAATCGAGGTTTTCAAAGTCAAGAACACCTGGGTTAACCGTGCCTTAGTGACAAAAAAATCTCTTTCCGACAGTATAGCTTAAGTCGAGAAAAGCCATCTGTTGACGAAGACCTTTCGAGTTCGGTTTTATTCAGCTCAAGGGCCTATCAATCACATGGTGGAGTCAAAGAACTACCTTACAGTTGAATTTTTAAACAAAGGTCTTTAAACCGAGAAGAAGACCGAGGTGGACTGCAATTTGAAGCCATATCCTGATTTCCGAACTACAGCGTCAATTCCGTATCATTTCAAGGTGGACTCGACTTCGCGACAGAGGAGCCATCTGCAACCCAATTCGACAGGGAGTTATTTTTCAACCCACCAACGAAAATTTGTGTCTTTTATCTTTGTCCTATTTTCGTTCCACGAAAAAAGACAAAGAGGGGCAGCTGTAGACACTCATTTTCGTCATCTTTTTATACATATAATATTGTATATATATAATATAGTTTTGAAAACATGTTTGAAAACATTTATATATAATATAGTTTTTAAAACATTTTGAAAATAAATATAATATATAATTTTTAAAATATTTTTAAAAATATATATATTATATAGTTTTTAAAACATTTTGAAAATATATATAGTTTTTAAAACATTTTTAAAACACATATATATTATATAGTTTTGAAATCATTTTGAAAACTTATGTAATATATAGTTTTAAAAACATTTTTGAAAACTATATAATTTTGAAAATATTTTTAAACTATAATATATAATTTTAAAATATTTTTAAAATATATATTATATGGGTTTTGGAAAATATTATATATATATATATATATTATTATTTGTTTTTTCCTTTTTTCTGTTTTATTATTGTTAACATTTTATTTTATTTTGTTTGTAGGTCCAACAAGGTTCCAAATAACGGGCCTGAACCAGTCCAACAGTAGATTAGGGTTTTCTGCTTAGGGGAATCGTACAGTCAACGCCGCAAGGCATGGAGACAGTCAGTCAACGGCGCCGCACAGCCAAACGGTCAGAGGGCAAAACGGCCGGCCGAAGATCCCAGGACTGACCCATCCCGGGATGACCGACCACAACAACAACAACCCCGCCTTTCTCAGACTCACAACGGCCGGTGGGGTTATAAAAACCCACGACCATGACAGAAACCGAGAGGAGAGGAGACCGAGGAAACAATAGTCGGGAAATCATCACACGAACCACATCAATAGTAGAACAGAACACATAGTAAACAAATCGAGCCACACAACAAGAGACAGAACCAACGAAAGAGAAACCCATCTCAACATATCAGAAAAAACCAACAATCAACCATTACCAAGCCACCACAGACCCACAAACGGCCAATAGTAAACCAGAGCCATTATCACAAGAAAGTAAATCACGAAACAACAAAGCCAGAAGCCAAACACAGTACAAAAAACCCAAAAGGCGGAGACTTTCGAATCCTAAAGTAAAAATAACAAAGGCCAAAACTTTGTTACGTGGAAGGATACCGAAAGTCACCCGGAGCGTCGTCGGAGAAGCGAGCGGTCACCGGAGATGGTAAAAAGCCGAAAGTTTTTTTTTTAGATCTACGTTTACTGGGGCTTGTTTCGGGGATTTAGAGGTCGGTTTTGGGTTCACGGTTTTGAGAGGAACGTGCGGGGTGCATTTTATCTTTTCCGGCAGCCAGAGGCGGCGACCGGAGCGGCGGTTGACCATCGGCGGTGGCGGCCGAACCTTGGCCGGGTTAGAGAGAAGCGAGAGAACAGATGGTTCTCTCTTTGGTTAGAGAGATGAAGAACGGCACAAATGAGGGGAAACGAGTGGAGAGAGACCTTGCTTTAGCCTTAAATAGGCGCACCAAAACTACGTCGTTTTGGACCCTAACCCGCGTGTTTCTAGAATAAATGGGGTAAACAGTGATCTTCGTCCTTTGAGTTTTAAAAACTTCAATTTTACCCCCTTGAATTCAATTTGAGCCCTAATTTCCTTTCAAATTGTACCTTTAATTTTGTTTTCTTTTAATATAGTCACTTACTATTATTATTGTTATATACATATATATATATATCTTTCATTTATTTATTTTTTTTGTTTTATTTTCTTTTTGATTTTCCCTAGCGTTTTATTTATATATATACCTTTATTTTCGGTTTTTATTTATATTCATTTATGCTTATTTATTTTTTTTTTTATCTCCTTATTTATTTTCTCTTCCTTTGATTTATTACGTTAGTTAATCTTATTTTTTTTATTTAATATTTTTTTATCTAACATTTTTTTATCTTTTTAAGGATCTTCGATTAAACCAATCAAAGGTAAGTGATTCGAATCAGATTTCTAAATTTCAATTTAAATTTACAATTTTCGCAACTAAAGACAACCGGTAAATTAATTGGTACCGAAAGGGCGGTTCAAGGGTGCTAATCCTTCCTTGACCGTAACCGACTCCCGAACCCGACACGTTTCTGGTACAACGCAGATCAGGTAAGATGGTGTCCGGCCCACCTAAATTCGTTTTAAAGTGGTCGGTGGCGACTCTAATCAACTCATTTCAAGTCGAAGCCCAATTCCGGAGCCCAACCACGGTTCCGACACTTCGTGATTCTTGTTTCTTTTTTTATTAGATTTTAATCACTCGAGAGAACTCCTGATTACTTTCCAAAAACTAGAATGAACATGTGTTCTTTTTGGCGGGGAAGAATTTAAGTTTCATTTTAGGGTTGTTTTGGCTGCTACTTTGCTATGCCATACGAGACTGATTATTGGTCTATCATCTAAACGATTCTTATAATTTTATAAATGGGGATTGTTTCATGCTGAATATATCTTTATCTTAGCAGAAAATCGTTTCTGGGATGGGTTGGCTTAAGAACTTGTGAAATAATGATAAGCAGAAATTCTAGATGTATGCATATTGTTAGATTTTAATTGGGCCTTTGTATTTGAAGCTGAAGGATATTTTGCATTGTATAGTACTTTCACAATATATTTTCTTGGTTTATGCACTTTCCTCATTTGTCTGTAGGTGTTTCCCCTTTCACTGATTCTGTGGAGCACTGGAATGCTTTCTGAACCCATTCCAAATGGCTTCTATTCCGTCATTCCGGTGAGGATTGATTTGTCTTTTGTAATTAATAGCACCTCACTTGCTGCTTAACTATTCTTTTTCTTAGGTTGAAACTGAGGTTCATAAGATAATGGTTTTTAACTTCTTCCCCGTCTTTCTCTGTTATTTTCTCTTACTTGTACTAGGTTTTTAATTGTATTTACTAATAATATACTTCTTCAGGAGTTTATTTCCAATTTCATTTTTTGAGATATATATTGCTTTAAAACCTTATTGTTTATATTAACTTCTTCTCCTTCATGACTAATTACTTGGTTTTTGGATGTGCCTAGGTCCACTTTGCACCAAGTTTTGGGGAATGGTCAGGAGCGATACTCTGAAGTCATCGTCTCTTTCCTAAATATTTCCGGTTCTTTAATTTTTTTAATAGAATCTGTGGGAGTACCCTTTAACTGATGTTGTAATTTGACTGATGATTTGACTGAAGTACCATTTTACAGGAAGAAAAGTTCCGCCATATGTAAAATCTGAACCTATTCCTGTGGAGAATAAAGAACCTGTGAAAGTGGTGGTTGCGGATACCCTTGAAGAGATAGTTTTCAAATCAGGGAGAAATGGTGTGTGTTTATTACTTTGCTTGATGATTTTCTTCCCCCTTTTTGCTATATCAGTAGTCACTCATGTTTATTATCTGTAAATGCAAATTGTTGCAGCAGAATCGACATGTAGTGTTTTTATCCAAGGATATGAAACTCTGAATTTGGACTGGGTTGATCTTTGGTGATATAGCTTATTAATACTGCAATAATCAATGTACCCTTCTATCTAACATCTGTTGATATCCCTACGATAGATTTATATCATTTCATTTTGGGGATACCTGGTAGATATTCTGCGAGTCTCTAGGTTGGGACATTAATAATGTTTAGAGTTAGGTGGAGTCTTAAAGTGCTTTACAATCATTCGCTTTTTACAATTTCAATGTTTTGATAGTTCTATTTCTGTAGCCATCTCTTTGGGAATTTTACAATGACATCAGGCTTTTCTTTCTACAGTTTTGCTCGAGTTTTATGCTCCCTGATGTGGACATTGTCAGAAATTGGCACCAATCTTGGATGAAGTTGATGTCCACTATGAAAAGGATGCTAATGTTTTGATCGCAAAACTTGTAAGTTTTTATATTCGTTGATTTTGATGGTTTTGGCTTCTGTTTCGGTCTATTTGATTAGGTGAAGTAGCTAGCATTACTTTGGTTGAGCAGAGAGAATAATAAAAAGGCCATACAGCAATAGGGTCTTTGCTGATTGAATAGAAACCCCATGACATTTGCAACTTTTGGTTTGTTCTATTATGGTTGTAGAAGCATTATGTGAACATCTATTGTACATAACATTCTTCATTGCTGGAACCCGCACTCTTGTGATTTTTCTTTGCAGGATGGAAGTGCAAATGATATCGAGGATCCAAACTTTGATGTTAAAGGTTACCCAACCATTTACTTTAGATCGACCGATGGAAACATAGCCGCATATGAAGGTGATTGGACCAAGGAAGACATCATCGACTTCATTGAAAAGAACAGGGACAAAACTGTTCATCAAGAATCAGTAAACGTAACTGTTCATCAAGAGTCAGTAAAAGACGAGCTCTGAAGAGGGGTAAGTTCTACAGTTGTAATATAATTTGTTTGTTTCTTTAAGTACATTGTATTTCAAAATTTAAATACCCTTTTTTATTTTTATTTTCATTGTTGCAGAACTGGAAAACAAACAGTAACGATAGATTGTAAGTTAGAATTGAGAACTTCTAAGTGGTGACCGATCTCCCTCCAGCTTTTACGTTAAAAAAACTATCTATGAATAATAAAGGATATATTTTAATCTTTTTAGATGTTTTAGAAGACGATGTTATAATAGTTTCTCCATGGGATTGCTTTTTTCCTGGGTTTCTTGGTGAACTTTTGTTGAGATTATCAAAGTTAACAAAATCTCTGATGAATTGGCCAAAATTAATGGAAATGGCATAACAATAACTCTTCATGCTTTTTGCATTATTGTTGATTTTTGTTTTGCACATATGGATGAAAATATGGAATTGAATTGGGGGTTATTCAGTTTTATGGCTGAGGTGTTGCTTGATATTGTAAGTATGAATGAATTCGAGAAAAAAGGAAGAAGTAGAAAAAGAAAATTGCATGTTTAGTACAATTGATATTGATTTTATCGCAGATGCTATCTAATATACTCTAGTGTTCAGGGACGAACGCAAGACGGATGAATTAGTTGTTTAATGGATTTTATCGGCCATGATTTTTGTTGTCTTTTGCGTTATATCATGTGTTGTTGAACAACAGATGCATGGTTATCTCATCCTTTACCTGTGTTTCAGACTTTCCACTGTAGGCATGGAAAGGCCTCTCTTTGATAAGGTGTAAGTGTTTCATTGTTATGTACTCTATAAATCCAATTAGTCTGCTTAGATTGTTCAAAAAAAATCATAAATCCTAATGGTCTTAGTATAACTTTAAGAGCTTAACTCTCTCCGGGTAGTTGGATGTTTAATTCTAGTAATCCCCTGTTATTAAATACTCCCTAGAAGCTACAACTATCCTACATGGTCATGACTTTATGAGCCAAATGGGTTGATTATTCAATTTTATACAAGCTTATGATTTGTGTATCCTTAGATGAAAGGATACAGTTTATGATTTGTATTGGTTACTCTGCGTGTTTTATAGTTTTAAATGGGAACGTTATGCATAAGGTGGGTGTTGAAGTTATTGGACTAGGACATTGAAACTAACAGGATACCTCAGGGAATTCTTGCAGCAGAACAACATTACCTTCGAATCGTTGTACACTGTGCGGACACTGAAAGAGGTATGTTGTAATCCTCTGCAACTTGGGGTTAATGCTATTTCCTTTATATGGTTTGAGTAGTGTCAAAGGTGTTTAAAATTGATAAATTTACTTTGGTGTTTTTGCTCCCTTTTTGAATCAATGCCTCGTTGACCTTTGGAGCCTCCAGACCTTCACTCTGATGTTCATGCAAGATCATTTACCTTTGCTTTCTTGCTGTAAATTGGCAACATGATTATTCAATTTTCTTGATACTCTTTTAGTTTGATTAAAATACAGAATTTATGCTACGTTGTTATTGATTATAAAACCAAACTGTCGAAAGATACTCGAGCATCACTGGAGGTTCCAGCTGTGGGCCGGTTTACTCTGTCAAAGGAACGCTTTCAAACTGGAGAGGTCTTATTCCAGCCCCGTATTGCAGGAGTGTAAGGCTATAAATAGCAGCTTCAATAAAATTGTTTCTCTCAAGTCTGTAAAGAAAATGTAGAATGTTTATGAAGTATCTAAAGGTTTTACAAGTGATGTTATTGTTCTAGAGAACAATGTCAAACTACATTACATTTAATTTTAATGTTTATAAATTTTAATTTATTTTGTTACTAAAATTTATAGTTGTTGTTATTTATATAAAGTTACATGATATTAAATTTAGGTGATGTAGCGAAGAAATGAAATATGCAAAATATTAATTAATCTTATCTAAATAATGGTAATTAACGGCGATTGTATCAAAAAACGCCGCTATAGATCTGACCTTTTGCGGCGTTTGTTTAAAAAAACCGCTATAGATCTTGACTTTTTGCGGCGTTTTTATTTTACAAACGCCGCTAACATTAGCAGCACTAGTATAGCCGGAGCTTCTTGTGGTAATTTTGCCATCGCCCGAGTGCTTTTAGCGACGCTTAAAAACACCGCTATAGAACTAAAAAAACGCCGCTTAAATATAGTGTGAGTAACTCAATAATCAATTATCATGAAGAATGATTACATGAACAACGGAAGACACAGTGAAGACGATGAGGGCCGAAACATGGAAAGTAGCTGATGTAAATAATGTTTGCCTGGCTCTGGATCTCTGACTGCTTGTGGTGAGAAGGAAAACTGAAGATGAACCGACGAGGCGACGATGAGAGATCTTATTCCAGCCCCGTATTGCAGGAGTGTAAGTCTGTAAATAGCAGCTTCAATAAAATTATTTCTCTCAAGTCTGTAAAGAAAATGTATAATGTTTATGAAGTATCTAAAGGTTTTACAAGTGATGTTATTGTTTTAGAGAACAATGTCAAACTACATTACATTTAATTTTAATGTTTATAAATTTTAATTTATTTTGTTACTAAAATTTATAGTTGTTGTTATTTATATAAAGTTACATGATATTAAATTTAGGTGATGTAGAGAAGAAATGAAATATGCAAAATATTAATTAATCTTATCTAAATAATGGTAATTAACGGCGATTGTATCAAAAAACGCCGCTATAGATCTGATCTTTTGAGGCGTTTGTATCAAAAAACGCCGCTATAGATCTGACCTTTTGCGGCGTTTGTTTAAAAAAACCGCTATAGATCTTGACTTTTTGAGGCGTTTTTATTTTACAAACGCCGCTAACATTAGCGGCACTGGTATAGCCGGCGCTTCTTGCGGCATTTTTACTATCGCCGCGAGTGCTTTTAGCGGCACTTAAAAATACCGCTATAGAACTAAAAAAACGCCGCTAAAACTCTATTTTTGATGTAGTGCTTGTGTTCTATTACCCGTACATCAAATAATAATCTTGAATAAATGATTATTAAGAATGTAAAATAAGAGTTTTAAATCCCAAACAACATGGCAAGAAAGGCAATTGGTAACGCAAGGAGGGAAGCAGGACCAGGGATTGCAATGTTCGAAGCACCCTTGGTGTTTCCACTTGAAGAGGCCGGAGCTAATTCCTGGGCAAACCCTGATGAAAATTATACCAACATGATGAAATTAAAATTTAAACACACTTATTACTAAACAAATACCTGTGTTAATGAAGAAATCAAATGAATTACCGGGAGATACAGATCCTTTAGGGCTAGGGGTTGGTGCTCCGGTTGGACCGCCATTAAAACTGTAGCAATTTTAGAAAATAAACATTTAAAACATTTTTTTTGAAGAGTATCTAAAAATTTACAGGATAATATATGTTTATAATTTTCTCAATACACATATTTCATACGGACGCAGTTGAAATCAAATTTAAATTTGAATCTTAAATTCTTTTAATCGAAAGATATTGCGTATTTAAAACTGTAATATAGTTACCGGAGCAGAGGCTAACGGGAGGAGTTGAGACATGGCAAACGTTAGGCAGCTTAAGAGCTCTGTCCATATCAATGTTGAACCATAACTGGCTGTCTTGTTCTTATCCAACAGATAGCACAGAGTCATAGACCCTGAGGGCTGCTCTCCACAAGCCCCGCCAACTCCGGACAGCAAGGTTTGTCTGGCTTCGTCAGGTTGCTTCCCGCCGTCACGTACGACAAACAATCCGACAAGTTCAACAAATTCGTCATACAGTCCGGTGTAGGTGCCTAGCGGCCGGGACGGTCCAAATGCAACTGCCCCTGCTGACTCAGATACCGGTGATGCAGTAGATCCTTCAGTGCTTGGAGTCGGAACTGCGGTTGGAGCACCATTGATAACTGCATGAAGTCAAGAAAATAAATTTGTTCAACTTTATTTTCTAGTGCTTGTATACTCCTTTTGCATCAATAATATTTGTTCGACTATCCGCAAGAGTAAAGATAAAAAGATTTTAATTTCTGAAATTAATTATAAATATGATTAACTACGCTATTTATCATTTATGTTTGTGTTTTCTTTACTTTTCCTCACTAATTTCAAAAAACATAATATAGGATCTGACGTGAGTTAACAATTACACATTTGGTCTTTGTTATTTACATATTCTTTCAATTTAATCATAGTTTTAATAAATTAAAATAAATTTAATATTCCAATTAAATGATGTCACGTGCTACGTGTCACCCTCTTGTTAAAAAAAAAATTAGGCTAAAGGGATTTTTAACCTAGGTCTCTTGAGAAACTAAACATATACTCAACCATTGAGCTAAGATCAATACTTAAATTAAAATAGATAACATGATGTATATATTTTGTATGTTAGTGTATATATACTTTACTTAAATTCATAATATTTTTTATATATTAACTTTAAGAAATGTTTTTTAAATTGACTTATTAAATATATTTTATTATTAAATTAATTTAAAAATATATTATTTTTAATTTAAATTTAAAAGTTAGTCCTCCAATCAAATGGTGACACATGGCTTGACATGTGGTTCCAGTGACACGTGGCATCATTCAATTGGAGGATTGAATTTATTTTAATTTATTAAACATATGACTAAATTGAGAGAACATATAAATAATAGGAATCAAATGTATGATTATACCAAAATATTTAACTATAGTCAAGTTGTGATTATCATATCTTAATTAAATAAAAACAAAAGTGAACAAATATTATATTTTTTATATCAGTGAGGAAAAGAAGACAAAACACAAACATAAGTGATCAATCATGTAGTTAACTCTTATAAATATTTTTTATTAAGCTAAGGTGATTACAAAATAGCATTTGTTCTACATATTTTAATCATTTGACAATGAATGTTCAATTACCTGCTGCAATCGATGGTGCTTTAATTCGCGATCTCTAGGAACTACAACTATTCCTTTAATTACTGAGATAAATTAGTTCGTGCTAATTATAAATATTAAAAAGTATCATACTAACGTGAATTAATTGATTAATTTAAATTGTAATGTATGAGCCGTAGAAACATGTTAAATTTATTTTTAGGCGTAATATAAAAATAAGTGTTTAAATTATATTTAAAATTGACTTTTAGTGCTTAAATAATTTTTCGTTAAAATTAGGTGTTTAATGTTTTCTTCGTTACATATTTAGATGTCTATCGTTAAAAAAATTTGTTAAGTGACACGTTTCATGTTCATTTTTTTAAATGTTTTTAAATACTATTTTATTTTTAAAAAATAAAAATATAAATGTGACACATGTAACTTAACGTTTTTTTAATGATAAACACCTAAAAGTGTAACAGAAAAAATAAATATTATGCACCTATTTTTAACAAAAAAATTCTTTAGGCACCAAAAATCAATTTTAGATATAATTTAGGAACTTATTTTTATATTAAGCCTTATTTTTAAAATAATTTAACTTTTTTTTATATTTGAAGCATTTTTAATTATTTTTTATAATATAAATTTTAAATTATTTTATTGTTCTTTTTGAATTCTTAATATTAAAAACATTCTATTAAATTACAACAATATTTATGTTAAATATACTGCGCAAAAAATATTTATTTTAATTTCGCTTGTTTCACAAGGGATTATTTAGCATCCAATTTAAGACTTAATACAAACTAAGATTTTATTTCAAGAATTGTTTTTACCATTATATCACGGTTTGATTCAAATATTTTACATGATAATTTTAAACATAACATTAATCTTTTTCTAATAAAAATATTTTTTTAAAAAGTAAATTAGTTTATATATTAATTTTACACTCCATAATATATATATATATATATATATATATATATATTAAAATTTAATTCAATTTTAAATTTCTTTCTCAAAAGTATAGTACATCTATATTAAATAACAACCTTTTTTTATATAAAAAAAACCGTTAGATTGAGTTCGAATTTTTCTAAAGGATAAAACTAGGCTAAGTCGATAACAAATTTAAGATAATTTTTTTATATAAGAATCGATCCAAACTGAGATAATAATAAAATATTTATATTTTTTGGGTAATTTTAAAAGTTATATATATATATTTGTGTTAGATTTAATTTTTGTGAGTTGGCATAAAATTTTTAATTTTAAAAGTTAAATCGAAATTCAGGTGAAATGAACTTTTCTTAGATTTGCGTTAAATAAAAGGATAAATAAATGATATATCAAGTTCGAAGAGACAAAAAAATTTATTCGAATCAACTCATGCCCTCCCTAATTTTAAATGAATGGACAGTGATTCATTTGTTCGGTAAAGGGACAGAAGTTAAAAGTTAGTTGAGAACAAACCCAGAAATCTTAAATACCCACCTAATATCTTAAATGACATGGAACCAATTCCTCCTCTCCAAAAATATTTAATTTCAATATTAAAAATATACGAATCTATAAACTATGGCTTGAGCTTAACCAAAATCTTATATTTAATAAAAATATTGTTAAATATTTGATGTGAAAATTTCATTGTTTTTAATTTTATTTAATTGGGTAGAATAAATTTATGATTAAACCGTTAACAAAGTTTAATTTAATTTTTAAACTTTAAAATATATTCTTCTTGAGTTTTAAAATCTTAATACAATAGCACATGTAACAGTGCCCAATAATTAGCTTGAATATTGAATAACCGACCAAATTTTACACGAAATATATTTGAGGCGGAATTGGCCAAAAAAATTCAATCGAGTGGATTATTTGGCCCAATAAGTCATCCAGACTTTAAATTTGGGATCTAGGGTAAATGCAACAGTGTCCATGGAACTCATCACGCCGGGGTGACGAGTTCCATGAGATATAAAATATTTCCTCCGGGACTCGTCATACCCACGTGACGAGCCCCGATAAAAAAAATATTTTTTTTTTGAAATTTTTAAAAGAAATGTAAAAAAATAATTTTTAATGCCCATGAAACTCATCATGCCGGTGTGACGAGTTCCAACTAGTATAAATTTGAATTTTTTGACCGTTGGATTGATTGTTATTCAATGGTCGAAAATATTTTAAAATGTTAATGGGGAAAAGTATTGTCTTCCTTTTAAGTTGTGCACATCATCTTCAATATCTTACATAACACATTCATTTCATCTCTTACACAACACACTCCTTTCATCTTCAATCACTTACACAACAAACTCCTTTCATTTAACCAAAAACATTTCAAACAATGAGCAACAAATTCTTCACAGTTGTCCATTATAAGGGCGAACAATTCTACAAACTGGTGTTGGTGTTGTGTTTAAGTCACACAGGCCCATCAATATGATGTTCCCTATAGATGTGTTGAAAATATTTTGATGTTTCGATATAAAAAATTAAGTTAAATGAATTTTAAGATTTTGCAAAAGATTTTCTAAGTATATTCGATGTAATTATTTGAATATCAAAATATTACTCCAAGTCTTTCAAAGTTCATTTTAATCCTTACTAAAGTGTAAAATTGTTTTTTATACTTAAACTATTTTAAAACAATTTTACAAAGTATTTCGAGCCTTAATCGAGCCAAAAATATTTTCTTTTTAAATGGTTTCGAGAAAAATCAGATTGCCTAGGGGGAACAGATTCCCCCCCAGAGGGTACAGATTCCCCCAGGGGGAGCAGATTCCTCCCCAGGGGGTATCGATTCCCCGGGAACAGATTCCCCCCAGGGGTACAGATTCACCCCTTAATGGTTTGGCTCCGAGAATTCCAGTATGCTCGGAGGGAACCGATTCCCCCCAGGGGGTACCGATTCCCCCCTGTGTAACGGTCGAAATATTTGAATTTTACAGTTAGGGAACCGATTCCCCATAGGGGGTACCGATTCCTCCCACGCTCCAAGCTGTTTTATTAATTGTTTTCACACTAAAACGGCTATATTATCTTTTCTAATCATCCCCAACATTCAAAGTGATTCAAGGTGTATTTAAGCAAGCTTAGAAGCCATTGATCAAAAACAAGAAATATCAAGCAACTAGAATCAAGAGACAATCAAAGAGAAAGCATCAAACCTCAAGTTTGAGCATTTCAAGCCTATTTTTCATTCAATATTCATTTTGCTTTCAAGAATACTTATTTTGCTCAATTGTATTCATTTTTTAGTGTTCTTTTCTTTTTTCTAGAATTGTGCAAACAATCTACCTTGTGAGGATTTCCTTGTAAGTTTGCAAAATTTGTATTGTTCTCTTTGAGAGAGAGTGTTCTCAAGAATTTGGGGTATAATTCTTGAGGGTTTGTAAGGTTACTCTTTGTCCTCAAAAGAAAGAAAAATTAGTGAATTTGTGGAAAATCCTTAGTGTGGATAGCTAAGGTAGTGGACGTAGACTTTGATTGAGAAAGTCGAACCACTCTAAATCGCTGTGCAATTAGTTTCAATTTTCTGCAAAAGCTTCCACCAAAATTTTTATTGCCAATTCACCCCCTCTTGGCCGATTCCGTCAATCGATTAACTCAACAATTGGTATCAGAGCCTAACTCATTTAAAGGTTTAATCGCCTCTTGAGTCGATTCGGGAAGAGTTACATCGATAATCAAAGTCATCAATGGACTTTGCTTCAAACTTCGACTCCAGTCTCGATTCGATGCCCGTCAACAAGCCTCCTTTCTTCAATGGGGCTAATTATGCCTATTGGAAAAATAGGATGATGTACTTCATTCAAGCAAGTGACATGGGAGCATGGAATGTCGTAGAAGAAGGATACTTCAAGCCTCTCACTCATCCAAGATTATGGAGTGAAGGAGAGACAAAAATGTTCCAGCTCAACTCCAAAGCCATCCATATCATATTTTGTGCTCTTGGACCAGATGAATACGGAAGAGTTTCATCTTGTACAACCGCCAAAGAAATATGGTACAAACTTCAAGTCAC